CTATAATAGTTAATTTGCAAAATGTTCAATAATTGTCTCGAACTTCAGTGTTGTTGCATTTCCATACTAATTGCTTTCTATTCCCGCTCTACCTTTCTTGATCTTCTCCATCTTCTTCTACCAGACATTACATTCCTGACTTGCGTCATATACTACTTGTATCAATATAAGTAGCACGCTCCACAGCTTTACAAAAATTATTTGATTTTATTAAATGCACTTGGTTTCGTTCACTTAAATCTTAAGATTGATATCAGGATTTCAATTGATCAGTCTCTTATTATTGACATATATGCATACTTTGCCTATTGCCTAGATATAGTTTTAATTCACAAGCATTATAAGTAAAGATAGATAGTTGCTAGCACTGGAATCCAGCTTGACGCGCGTTTCATTCTATTTAGGACTCGTCAGTTTGTTGTACCTGTTTCTCAAAGTTGATATTCACTCTAGAACTCGAACCCGGTACCGTTCGATTCAAATGCCATCACGTTATCCATTTAACTACTGAGTCTTAATAGCCTGATTGAAGTAAACAATACTATGTGAATTTAAATTTCACCCCATTGTACAAACAAGTGGCTGGAGTCTTAGAGTGAACATCAACTTTGAGATGCAGGTACATTCAACGGACGAGTCTCAAATAGAAGGAAACAAGAGTTCTGGATTCCACCGCTAGTCACTATCCATCTTTGTTCATAATATTTGATTTTATATTAACATCAAATAAATAGAACAGAATAATAAATTTTACAGGTTTCTAACTAATTTCAACTTAATACTTTTGAAAATTCATTTCCATTCAATTTTCTTCTTCAATATAGATTAACATATATCAATATATAGTATGAAAATATCAAACTCATTCTTTCTAAAATCTATATAAATATGTAACCATAGGCTTGCTCAGTATAGTCTTATTATCAGTATCAAATTGTAGAAACTATTGAATTTCATTGAAAGCATGAATTGATATAAAAGTGAAACAACCATTGAAAACTTTATAACATTGAATGGGCATTTTATCCTAGTATGAAACTTTTTAACAGTGACTATTCATTACCTCGGCTCCAGGGTTAGAAATCACGACGTTCAATCTCATGAACAAAAACACCTAACCTTTAGAATATTAAACCAAAATTGAATAGGTTTTAATTTATAACTTTGATCAATCTATGGAAGAACTATTTAACAATGCAAACAGCATTTCTGAAAACATTAAACTAACTAAGGAATTAGAATCAGTTGACCACAAACTAGCATTTCTAGATTGTCTGGTTGAACGTCGACACAATAATAAGAAGTTAAAAATAAATGTTTACAGAAAATCAACACATTCCGAGAGATACTTGGATTTTAATTCAGCCCATTCACAGAGCACGAAAATTAATGTGGTAAAAAATCTAATGAACAGAAGTACTAAGATTGTTACAGACAAGGAAGACTCTTAGGGATAACAACTACCCAAAAAGGTTTTTAAAAAAGATTATTAAAAATGAAAGAAAAACTAAACTAGAAAGTATACGAAAAGAATGGAAGTACACCGTAGTTATACCTTACCGGAGTGAAACATCAGAAGTAATCAAACGGATTCTAAACAAACATGATATAAGAGTGTGTTTTAGAGCGAATAACACATTAAGATCGACATTAGTGAAAGTTAAGGACAAATTAGCAAAGGAAGAACAACAGAACATTGTGTATGAGATTCACTGTCATGACTGTAATGCTACCTATGTTGGAGAAACATCCAGGCAATTAAATGTAAGATTGAAGGAACATAAACAATGCTTGAAAAATGTTCCAAAATCCTCGGTAGATTTAAAGAAACTTGAAAATAAGTCAGCGATAGCGTTACATGCGTTAGAAACAGGACACAAGATTAATTTTGAAGGGACCAAAATACTTCAGAAAGGTTTTAACACCCATAAAGAAAGATTGACAGCAGAAGCTCTGCATATATGGGCGAACAAGAACAGCCTGAACCGAAAAGATGGTATTCAACTGGCAACTACTTGGCAAATTTCGTCTGACAAGTAAATTTGGAACCTATCTCTTGTTTAAACCTGTTTTGTAATATCACATGCATCGTTATTATTTTTGAAAGAATTCAATGAGTTTTTAAACAATACAATTTATGTTTTGACATGCACATCGATCTTTCATTATCAAGTTTTCATCCTTGAACTTGAACTTTATTTATTCCTTCATATCAATCTCTCACACATACATACATACCTGCACACTCACACACATACGATTTGTTACTCAGTAAAGTATTTCCATGTAGTTGAATTCATCACATGATTTGTAGTCAACTAACTCATTTTATCCTATTTTACAAAAAATCAACATCCGAATACGATCGGTTTAACACAGTATAATCGTGATTGTTAAAAAGCTATATATTTCTTTGATAATTTTGATTTTGATTATTACCCTGAAGAAGTCCAGACAAGTTAGCTGGACGAAACGTTGGAATTGGTTGAATTTCAATTGCTGAGAATACTTCAAATATAATTTTTACATATAATGACTTCTCTATACTCGGCGCTCAATTACTGCCAAACTATTCGTTCTAATCTTGACGAATATTCGTATAAGAGACTAGTACTTATCAGTTCAACTGCTCCTGTGGAGCGAGTTATATTGGTCGAAGTTCTAGGAATTTACATTTTCGTGCTCGTGAACACCTTCCGGCGTGGTTAAATAAAGGTTTGATGAAGAAGGTGAACAGCTCAATATTGGCCCATTTAGTACAAACCGGTCATAGTGCCAGTATAAACCAATCTTTTTCAATTATTTATAAGGTCAGTAATTTTTTGCCAAAACTGGTCAGACTGAAAGTCCTTCAAACGGCTGAAGCAGTAGCCATCCGAATGAAGAAACCGGAGCTATGCGTACAGAAGAAATATATTCAGCCACTCCTCCTCCCCTGGCCAACATCAAGGCCAATTAATCAATCGTAATCTTAACTATTGAATGACCCAATTTGACTATCACCTTTCGTAGTCAATTGTAATTGTCCCTATTATCTTTATTCATAAATCTTTGTATTATTATTATTATTATTATTATTATTATTATTGTTATTATTCGTACTATTGGTTAAATATCATTAATCTCCCTTTACATGATTCATTCACTTCGCATTCATTCCTCCGTATTACGTCTTACTTATTTGATCGAATTGTAATTGCACTATTATTTCTTTCTCACCCTATTTGACCCATATTTATTCTGAATTTCAATTGCTGAGAATACTTCAAATATAATTTTTACATATAATGACAATATTTATATTTATTTATATAAATAAACAGTATAACATATTTTAGTAAAACTAATCTAAGTCATTAAGTCTAATATAACTGAGATCGGAACGATACAAAACAAAGCAACCAACATCTTTTCACAAGTAAATGAATAAAACATTATGGAAATAAAGAAAAACAAAATAAACAACTTCAAATGATCATTTAAACTGTATCACAATTTATGGCTTACTTTTTTTACTTCAACTATTAACAAATAATTTTACTAGTTGAAATCATGAGTTAAATGAAGATAGATCACCGTTGAAAACCTGAAAGTATCAGACTGCCGTTTCGTTATATTGTGGGACACCTCAGCAGTGCTCATTTACGATCCCGCATTGCTAGACTCGAACTCAGGACCAATCAGTCTTGGGTGTAAACACAACTTCTAGATCACTGAGACGGTTGGCATTCAACTGTGTTAATGTCTGACTTCAAACAATCCATGAAACTGAGCGATACATTCATCATTGTCTTCAGTGAGTTACTATGTCCTTGGTTCAAATCTTACGATACGGGGACGTGGATGAGTACTGCTTAACAGCCCCGTAATAGGACGAAACGGCCATCCAGTACTTCCAGGTTTTCAATGGTGGTCTGACTTCAATTAACCCATGATTTCAACTATTGAAGTCACTATAATACCCATAAAAATCCCTTCTGATATTAACAAATAACACAATAATCATTGTTATATACAATGATTTAATAAGCTATTTAATTTTGTATTCCTCTCTTCAACATATTATAATTAGTTTATTAGTTTATTAAACTTAAGTAACCCAAACTAATTAACCGGAGTAAAAATACAGTGATCATCTATATTATTTAAAATAAGCAGTTGTTTGTGAATATTTGTATATATTTCTCAATGATGAAGGTGATTTACTTTAAGTTTCAACTCTGTATAAGACAGCTTCTTTTTACCATCTGCTGTCAGACATTTCATTTTGATTGATCATAAATACTCCTTATATCTGTCGATATCAGTAGTACACATCACAGGGTAAAAAGAAGTTGTCTTTTAGTTAATTTACTATCATTTTACATTCTAAAAGTATCTATCTTATATTGATGTAATACTTGATATCAATCGATTGAAGTTATAATCAACGTCTGATTATTGTTGGATGATTGAGAAAAGTTGATAACAAACCATTGACCTAACTTTCACGACTTTTGACACTGTTTATTAGAGGTAATCTATAGTTCTGAAAAAATTGAATCTTTTCATTGAATTTTAACTGATGTTTTGTGACAATCCCTATTGTTAAATTTATAACATGTAAACAGTAATAGACATTATCTTTCCGTGACAAAATTTAAGGTCTGTCGAAATCGTTAATAAGCCATGGTTAGCATCAAGAGGGGTTGATGTGCTCTGTTGATGTGTTAACACCTAATAACAGTCCAGATCAGTGGTCATATATTGATTGCTGACAATCATCTACTTGAATTTCCTATTTTGAGGTAGCAACTAAAAATCAATAAGTTTTGACTTTAATCTATACTTTTTATTATGATAACTACTAAAGAATTTTTACAGAAAATAAATGAAATTTAATTTTTGTTTAATACAACTTACTATTTTTTTTTGTTTCCAATACAGAATACAAAAATTTGAACTCAATTGTTTGTTTGTTATTTTTAGCTCTGTTCCAATACAAAATCTACATTAAAAAAATGCCTCCATCTAAATTACATTCTTGTAAAACTAAAACATCAAATCAAAATATCACTCAATTTAAATCAATTGATGATATTGATACTTACAGTTGTCATAGTAACACTGATTCAAAATCATTTGAATTGACAAATTATCAAAAATCAAAATCTACTCAACTTTATTATCCATTAAAACATTGTAAAATAACAAATCATAATAATAATGATAATGATTTAATTTATAAAACCAATTTACAACAAGATAAATTAAATAATCAAATTAAATCACAATTACATACATCTATAACAAAATTACCAAAATCTATAATACATAAACAAATTAAATTTATGGAACATGGATCAGAGTAAGTAAAAATCATTTATTATTATTATTATTATTGTTATTATCACTTCATTGATTATTGATTTTTTGGTTTATCAAATAAAATAATTAATATCCATTATGTAACTAATCAACTATTTTAACAGTTGTGATAATGAGTCAATTGAAGCTAGATCACCATGAAAAACCTGAAAGTACTGGACGGCCATTTTGTCCTATTGTGGGACTCCTCAGCAGTGCGAATCCACGATCCTGCACCCCGCGAGATTCGAACCCAGGACCTGACAGTCTTGCACTAGGCGCTTAACCAACTAGACCGCTGAGCCGGCGTCCAACGGCATTAATGTCTTACTTCAACTTATCCACGAAATTGAGCTACACATCCACCATCTATCAATTGACTCATGATCTCAACTGTTGAAATTACTACAATCTCCACGAAACCCCTTCTGATACTAATCAACATATGTTCACTAGTGACTGGCTTCAAGATATATATCCTGGAGTTGTAGTGAGAAGCAGTGACTAGTGAAGTTCAACCGGGTCAATTGTGAGGTAGTAACTCTCTGATGACAATGGTGGATGTGTTGCTCAATTTCGTGGATTAGTTGAAGTTAGACATTAACACCGTTGGATACCGGTCGGCTCAGTGGTCTAGTGGTTAGGTGCTCGCATACGAGACCAGTAGGTTCTGGGTTCGAATGTGGCGAGGCGGCATTGTGGGTGCGCACTTCTACGGAGTCCCACGATAGGACGAAACGGCCACCCAATGTTTCCAGGTTTTCCATGGTGATCTAACTTCAATTAACTCATGACCTCAACTGTTTAAATTTACTACAATCTCCACAAAACCCCTTCTGATATTAATCAACTATTGATTTATATCTGATGCTGTTCACTTAAAATTTACTTTAAGATAGATTAATTAACATTTTAAGATCAAAAAGTTATGATTAACAGATTTGTAGTAAAATTTTTATTCTGATATGTGAATTCAAATTTGTTATGTTCATGACAACACTTAATTGGTGTATAATTGAATCTTCGTAAAATGTAACTGTCATAGTGATCAATGACAAGAAATCATTCAAAGTTGCGAATATGTCAATAAGATATCAAACAATTCAGTCTTTCAAAGTAAGAAGTTTAAGAAGTAAGAAAAGACAGTAACAACAACAAATATTTAGAATTTATAATGACGTGATTTGTTTTGTGATTTTTTGGTGCAAAAAAAAAGAATAATATTATACAATGGAAAGATACATGTGAATTTAAACTTCACCCAATGGCATAAGCAAGTGGTTATCAGGAATCAGTAGTTAAGTGGATCATGTGATGGTGTTTGAAATGAACAGTATTAGGTTCGAGTTCTTGAGTGAACAGCAACTGTGAGATGCAGGTACATCCAGTTGAAGAGCTCCAAATAGAATGAAACGCGCGTCAAACTAGATTCCATCACTAGCTACTATTCATTTTTGCCTAAAAGGTTTGTGAATTAAAGCTATATCGAGGCAATCCTCACAGGATGCATATATGCCAATAAGTGAGACTGATCAATTGCAATTCTTAAATAACAATTAGAAGATACAAGTGAAATAACAACAACAAGTGAACTTGAATATTATACAAGTTGATATTTATTTATATTCATTAAAAAATAGAACTGAATATAAATTAAAAGTTGTTTATCTATCTACGTGATAATAAGTGAAATTTTACTATTACGCACAAATCTTAAACAGATAAGTTTGAACACAAAAAAAGACAAGACCTAATATTCATGTAGTAAAGTGCGACATTGAATGTTTTCAGTTGAATGAATTGCAAGGTGACTATTGATTTCTAGGTTACAATCGTTAAGGTTGATTGTTAGTTGGATGATTGCTGAAACCTAGGGATCGCCAAACATTTATTTGATCCTAGTATTATAGCACCTCTCCTACGTTGAAGTTTGTTTACGGTTATGTTTGTCAAGCACTTCAATTAATTTCGTTAATAGATAGTTTTATTCTAACCGTAACAATATATATATGTATTATTATCATGTCTACATGAACATGTGTGCTTGATCACATGTGACAGCCTACTCAAATATCCCTCACTCTAGTTTCAATGTTACTTAAATAGCTCGATGAATTATTCGCTTTACCACATATATATGCTATATATGCATATGTACTTAAATCTTATTGATTGATTTGACTCTTAATTCGTCTCTACATTCGCTAGATCGCTCACTCACTCTCATTAGCTTTTCTGTTCGAATTCGCTTAGTGTGCTTGTGGCTTAGTGATCTGTGCTGTTCAATAAAATTACTTTAGTCGGCGCTTCATGTGGTCTTCTGATTTCATACGCCGTTGAGATTTATTTAATAACGGTTATCATAGCGATTAATATACTAAGTCCAGGGAATTATCTTGAAGCTAATTCACTATATTATGTTGCTCTACAGAAGCACTCACCCACTCATTCCCTATGAAATCAAGTATCGTAAGCTTACATTGGGTAAACAAGTAAACATTTCATCCATAACTCACTGTTAAAGTATCACTATCTGAACAATTCTTCTTTAATTTCAACTTTATTGTTTCACAGAACATATTATTTGCTCTGGATTGTTTTCCTATTTTCTGTATACCAAATTAATCCATCCAATTTGATGTTAATCATACGTGGTACTTATAATGTATTTAAGTAGCTCAAAAAGTAAAACTAAATTTTCAGTCTGAGGTTGAGGAGATAGGTTGAAGTGAAACACTAATACCGTTAGTAACGGGCACAGTGGTCTACAGATTAAGCTTTCGGGCCAAGCCGAAGGTCCTAAGTTCAAGCCCGGCACATGAAGTTGTAGGTTTGCACCTCGGAAACCTATACTGAGACGAAAACGTCCACACTGGCGGTCTAACATTGATCGGTTCGTGATTTCAATAAAAGTAAATTTATTCTTCACTGAAACTTGCAGTAATGTAGTCGTCGATATTTGATTTCAGTTCATCAATGACGTATTCTTAATGATCAAGTTTAAATATTTATAAAATAAATTCAAGAAAATCCATTATTCATAGGGTTGTTAAACGTTTTGTAACCACGCTACTTAAAAAATAAGAACTTGTTGCTTAGACTATTATTCAGTCTAGAGAAAAACTTATCACATCACTATTAGTAAATTCTGATGATTAATGAACACTTATGTAATGAATGTATTTATAGGTAGTATAAGTTTAGGAAAGGTAAGAGTATTATTTCAAAAATGATATTTTATTTCTACTTCTATAGTAGACTAAATGTTTCCATGATATTAATGAAAAATTGTTTTCACCTTTGAAGTTTATTTTTTTGTATGTTTTAAGTGAACTTTTTCAATCCGATTAAGTAAAGATGGATAGTGGCTAGTAGTGAGATCCAGGACGCGCGTTTCGTCCTATTTGGAACTCGTCAGCTGGATGTGCCTGCATCCTAGATTTCAAGTTCACAAGCAGGTGACTATCAGGACTAAGTAGTTAAGTGAATCATGTGATGGTGTTTGAAGTGAACGGTATTGGGTTTGAGTTCCAGAGTGAGATGCAGGTACATCCATTTAACAAGTCCCATATAGGATGAAATGCGCGTCAAACTAGATTCCACTAATAACCACTATTCATTTTCGCCTAAAACGTTTGTGACTTAAGACTATATCGAGGCAATCCGCAAAGGATGCATATATGCCAATAAGTGAGACTGATCGATTGCAGTCCTAAATAACAATTGGAAGACACAAGTAAAACAACACCGAGTGATTACGTAAACGTTTCATATATTTTCTTACAAATAGTTAACTTTCATTTATGAATGTAAATACTCTAAATAATCGTGTACATTTTAAATATGCCATTGGAACTCCATTTTATGTTTAAGGTATTTTTTTCAAGTATTTGTACATTCACTAAACTTTGACGTTGATTTGACTCCATATCGAATAGTAATAATGTAAGTGCACAACAAATTATCTTTAGTTATTCGACGATAATGCAAATATCATCAGTGATGATCTTATAACGTTGTGAAGTAGCTTAGTTCATAAATTTGATTAGATTAATCATGATCTCGTTGTGTAAAAGTAATGTGTTCTTTAAGGGACTTGATGGTGCTTGACTTTATTTCTTACAAAGGATGACGGTGTGAAAACATTTAGAGTATTCAGTTAGGAAAAATTAGTATTCAAAGCTTTAGATACCCTAGTTAAAATTAAATCGACTAGTGAATTCAACTTCAAAATATTACAATCTTCACGAACTTCCCACACTGATAACAATTATAGGCTCACTAGTGGCTAGATTAAGGATTGATTTTCTGGAGTTCTAGTGAGAGGCAGTGACTAATGGAGTCCAATTCGTATCAGGTGTTAGCCTCCTCAGACAGCTGATTAAAGGATGGGCAAGATCATAGATCGACTGAAGTTAGACATTAACACTATTGAATGTTAACTCAGCGGTCTAGAAGTGAACCGAGACTGAAGGTTCTGGGTTTTGGGTTCTTGAATACTAACTGGTAAGGATTCCCATACCACGACCAAACGATCATTCAGTGATTCCAGGTTTCAAAGAAGGTTTAGCTTTAATCAACTCATGAATCCAACCACAAAATCAGTCAGTTACATAAAACATAATTAAATAAATTACTGTGTTTGATACATTTCGGTTGTACTGTTTGTCAGTATTCATTTTGTTTGAATAACGTTTATCAGTATAGGGTTATGAAGATTATTAAGTTATTGATTGAGATCTTCAACCGATTTATGTAAACCACCATTGGAAACCTGGAAGCACTGGACGACCGTTTCGTTCTATTGTGGGACAGCTCAGTAGTACGACTGTCGAGTAGAGACAGGTATTTACCACAGACAATGGAAGATGGTCGCGCAATTATTGGATTGTTTGAGGTTAGACATTAACACCATTAAATGTTGGCTAGCTTAGTGGTTCAGTAGGTTAAGCGTTCGCGCACGAGACTGAAGGCCACGGATTCGAATCTTGCGAGGCAAAC